GGTGCATGGTGGTCCAGCTCCCCTCCCGAGGTGGCCCGGCACTGCGGGGCGTCTGAGATGGCGCAGGAGCTGGCATCCAGAGGACCTCTCCGCCAGTGCCAGCTGCTTCACCTGCACCCACTCAGCCCTCAGCAGGCTCGGGGCGTGCCAGGCACCCGGAGGAAATGCTCTCTGCACGACTCCACCTGGTTTCCCAGGGGAGTGAGTGGAGCAATGGCGCTGCCAGTCTGGCTCCATGGTGCAGCGTTGGCCTGCGGACGGAAGGGTCTTGGGTTCGATTCCTGGCCGGGGGCATGTAGCTCGGTTGCAGGTTTCCCAGCCATGATAGCAGCATGTGCGGGAGGCAACCACTCAGTGCGTCTCTCTCACTTCAATGTTTCTCTCTCCCCATTCTTCCCTTCCACTCTCTCTAAAATCAACAGGGAAAATATCCTTGTGTGAGGATTTAAGAAACAAGCAAACAGCCCGGCCAGTGTGGCTCAGTGACTGAGTGTTGACCTATGAACCAGGAAGTCAGGGTTCGATTCCCGGTCAAGGGCATATGTCTGGGTTGTGGGCTTGACCCCCAGTAGGAGGTGCGTGCAGGAGGCAGACAATCAATGATTCCCTCTCCTCATTGATGTTTCTTTCTCTTTTCCTCTCTCTGAAATCAATAAAAAATACGTATTTTAAAAAAACAACGCAGTTATGTATGAAATTCCCCCCCACACAGTAGGGATGATTCTGTAGGTTTTTAGTTAATCCTCACCCAAGGACATTTCCCCCCATTGATGTTTAGAGAGAGTAGAAGGGAGGGAGATGGGGGAGAGAAACATGGATGTGAGAGAGACACATCGATGAGTTGCCTCCTGCACATGCTCCCACCCAGGCTGGGATCAGGCCTGCAACCAAGGTACATGTCCTTGGTTAGGCCGATGCTCTAACCACTGAGCAGCCAGCCAGGGCAGATTCTGTAGGGTTTTTTTTTAAGTGTTTTGCATGTCCGTGCTGCACACTGACCTATGCCAGGTGACTGGGGGCCCGGGGCGCTGTACGGAACATCGCTGACAGGACGAGGGTGCTGTGGGGGACGGCCTCAGCCCTCATCGCCCCCACGCAGGTCGATTCCATGGTTGCTGTGCTTTGCATGGCGCCGGAGTAGCCGCTGAGCCTGAAGTCGGCTCACAGGGATCGCTAACTGCTGGCTGAGGATGATTTCCTAGAAGTGGAACTGCCGAGTCAGAGGCCGTGGGCGCTCACTGCCAAGCCGTTCTTCAGAAAGCTCGTACCCACAGCACCCGCCTGGCAGGGCCCGGAGGCCGTGCCCGCGCTCCTGTGCCAGGACCGGGTCAGACCGTTAGCGCTGCCATCTTTTCCGACGGGGTGCTGCTTCTCTGACCCCAAAGGGCTCTCTCTGTGGACACTTGCCTGTCTCCGCTCTTCAGGCCCTTCCCCAGATTTCTATGGAGGCTCATCTGGTCCTTAGGAGCGCAGAACGTTCTTACTGGGTAAGAGGTGGTGGCTATGCTGCTGCTTGTGCGAAGCATTTAGATCCGTATAGACTAGGGGTGTCGAACTCAATCAGAGAAGGGGCCAAAATCTAAAATCCAGCCTAAATCGCGGGCCGAATGGTTTACTGAACAGTCATAAACTGTCATTGTGATGGAAACGCAGCGGAGTGCAGTGATGACAGCGCGGTGCGGGCCACATTGCAAGGCCTGGCGGGACGGATTTGGCCCGCAGGCCTTGTGTTTGACACATGTGGTATAGACCCTTCCCCACGAGAAGATGGGAAGGGCTTTGCCAAATCCACACAGCGGAGAGGGACAGGACCGAGGCTCCATGCGGGGGGGTTCGGTGGGACCCGCCCTCTGCTCCCCCTCCTCCACGGGGCCAGCACCCTCTCAGCCTCACCCCTGAGCAGCTGACGGAACCTGGGCATACCTCCCTCCACAGCTGTCTGTGTGTGACTTCAGGAGGTCTGTGGAGGGAGGGCCGTACATCACAGAAAGAGCCACAAAGGCCTGGGACCTGCAAGCCGGGGCCTGAGCTCGCCCGGGGTCCAGGAGGACTGCCAGCCATGTGTGTCATTCCGTGCTCCACGGGCACTTAGAAATATGAAAGGAAACAGGTGGAATAGGTTTTAATAATCCATCTAATGTATTATATAAGAAACGATCTGTTGCTCTGGATGGTTTGGCCTGCAGACTAAAGGGTCCCAGGTTCACTTCCGATCAGGGGCACGTGCCCAGATTGTGGCTCGGTCCCCAGTGTGGGGCGTGCAGGAGGCAGCCAATCAATGATTCTGTCTTATCAGTGATGTTTCTCTCTCTCTCTCCCCTCCCCCTTCCTCTCTGAAATCAATAAAAATATATTTAAAAAAACAACATCAAGAAACAATCTGTTTAACAGGTAATCAAATTGTTAAAAAATATTAATGAGCTATTTTCTGTTCTCTTTGGTACAAACCTTTTCTGAATCTGGTGTGTATTTTATGCTTTCAGCACATCTCTCTGGCACCTTTCAGCGGCCACTTGAATGCGTGTGCGTGTGTGTGTGCGTGTGCATGTGTGCGTGCGTGTGCATGTGTGTGTGCGCTTGTGCGTGTGCGTGGGGGTTTCCCAGGGCCACAGGTCTAGGCGTTCCCCAGAGGGACCGAGCGGAGGGCAGGAAAGCAGGTGGCCCAGGTGGGCCGTGGAGACTGAGGTCCTTGTTCTGAAGGGCCTCCCTCTCCAGAGGCCTCGCCTGCCCTTAGCACCCCTCCCCCCCCAGCACTCCCGTCCCCCTCCCCCCTCATGGTGATGCTCTCACCGCTGACATTCATATTTACTCCTGCGTCTAGGTTACTGTTGTGTGTGTTTTTAATCCTCTCCAAGGACAGGCTTAGAGAGAGGAAGGCGCGAGCGCGAGAGAGAAACTTTAATGTGAGAGAAAACATGGATTGGTTGCCTCCCCCACGTGGCCTGACGGGCGATCAAACCCCAGCCCAGGTGTGTGCCCTGGACTGGGAATTGGCCTGGAAACGCTTTGGTGCACAGGACAACCGTCACCCGGACCCGCTCTGGGCAGGCACGCATTTGGTTATGGTCACATCACTCCAAATGTCACCCCCCCACCCCCAGGCCCGCTCTGTTCCCATGGGGGTTTGTCACTGAGTGGTCTGGGGACCACGGGGAGGCAGGCCAAGGGCGAGGGGAGGTCTGTGAGCTGCCGAGAACATGGCCGCATTGCCATGACAGCGCCTGGCACTCGGCGTGGGCACCTGGTTTCTGTAGGCCTTTAACTGCGGTCACTGTCACGAGGCCTGTCCCCACGCCGGCTCCCCCTCGCCCAGGCAGGGAGCTCAGGCCCGTCTGCCAACTGGGGGCCCTCCCTGCGGGTGCCTCGCTGGCGTCCACTCTGGGCCAGGGTCCTCACAGCTGGGACCCTCCAGCTGTGGCCCAGCCCCAGTTCTTGGGGTCCCTGCCCTCCCCACTTCCTTTACAGATTGAGCTCTGGCCAGGCCATAGGTGCTCCCTCATCTGAAGGCCTCCTGGGGCCTGGGCTGGGCTGGGGAAAGCTGAGGGGGTATGTTTGGAGGTGGGGGATGGCGTTCGGGAGCTGAGAAACACTGTGGGCCATAAGCAGTGTCTCAGCTCTCCCTCCTCCCCCCCAGCTCCTCTGAGGTCTGAACACTGTGCCAACCTCAGCCTGCCGCCTCCCAAGCTCAGCCTGCCCCCACACCCCAGCTCTGCCATTTCTCCCTCGTTCACCAGGTTTGGGGAGCAGCACTGCAAGTCAGGGCCTTCCAGGCGCTGGAGATACAACTGCAAATCAGCGGGAACCCCTGCACGCAGGGGGCTCACAGTCCAGCGGAGGAGGAGCGAACCGGGAAGAATAAAAGCTGTGAGGTCTGTGATCTCGCTAAGCAGAAAGCCTTAACGCTGGGACCGGGAGCAGCCCCGCTGCCTGCCATTGCGGATGGGGTGGCCACCCCTCCCCCAGCCCTGGTCTCTGCCCAGCCAGGCGGGCCCTGGCCTCTGGCCTGGCCTCCGCGCCCGCCCGGTCTGCCTGCTGGGAGCGCACCGCACACGGGGCCAGGGGAGCCGGGAAAGCCGGCACCCCAGCGGCCCAGCTCCTTTGGGAGCGGGATCAGGGGGGAGTGTGGAGGGGCTGCTCCCCTGGCCCCCCTCCCTCCGGCCCTGCCCGCCCCTGCGGCTGCCCGTGGCCGCAGGCTTCCTCCCCTCCCCCCGGTTCCCTGGGTCTCCATCCCTTTTCCTCCCTCCCCCCGGGCCTGGAGGTCACCTTCCCCCGGGCCGTGGGAGGCGCCCCGCCATCGGGGGTGACACCCTGCAGAGCAGCGCCGCCCACCCCCCGCGTTTGCCCGCCGGCTCTCAGCCCGGCCCCGCGCCCGGCGGATCCGGGCGAATGAATGGATCCCTCCGGGCGGGGAGCCCTGGCCTCATTCAGGCGGATCTTTACCTCTTCCTCCCCCGCACCCCGCACCCCGCACCCGCACCCGCACCCTGCACCCCGCACCCGCACCCCGCCGGCTCCTGGGGGCGGGGAGCGCCTGGAGAGCCCGAGATTGATGGAGGGGGTGAAGGGGGGACCCCTACTTCCGCCCGGGGACACGCCGAGGCGGGAGGGACCCATCGCCTGCCTCCGCGCTCCGGGCGGCGCGGGCCGGGCGGGCGGGGGCGGGGCGGCGCCGCGCTGAGTGGCGGCCGCGGGCCCAGCCCCGGCGGAGCGGGAGGGAGGGAGGCGGGAGCGGAGGGAGGGAGCCGGAGGCGGCGGCGGCGCAGGAGCATGTGCCGCGGAGCCCAGTAACCAGGACGACCGGCTGCACCGCGGCCGCCTCGGCGCCCAGCCCAGCGCAGCCCGCGCCGCGGCGCCCGGAGAGGCGGCCCCGGCCCGGCCCGGCCTCCCCGCGGCCCCGGCCCGGCCCCTGCCCCGCGGCCCCGGCCCGGTCCCCCCGGCGGCCCGGCAGCCTCGGCGCCCCGGCCGCGGAGCGCAGCGCGGAGCCCCCGGGCCGCGGGCTCGGCGCAGACAAAGGCGCGGCCCGGCCCGGCCCGGCCCGCCGCTCCGCTCCGCTGGGCGCCCCCCGGTCCGGCCCGGGGCAGGGCCGCGGCCGCCGAGGATGGGGAAGTCCAACAGCAAGCTGAAGCCCGAGATCGTGGAGGAGCTGACCCGCAAGACCTACTGTGAGTGCGACCCCGCCCAGCCCCTCCTCCGCGCCGGGCTCCCCAAGCCCCGGCCCCGCTCCGGTCCGCTCCCCATGGTCCCCCCCAAACCCCGGCCCCGCTCCGGTCCGCTCCCCATGGTCCCCCCCAAACCCGGTCCCCGCCCAGCCCCTCCTCCGCGCCTGGCTCCCCAAGCCCCGGCCCTGCTCCGGTCCGCTCCCCATGGTCCCCCCCAAACCCCGGCCCCGCTCCGGTCCGCTCCCCATGGTCCCCCCCAAAACCCCGGCCCGGAGCTCCCCATCACCCCAACGCCGCCGCCCTCCCCCGGCACCCTGCCCTGCCCGAGCCACCTCGGAGCCCGGGACAGGACCGGCTCCGCCCCACCCCGGGCCCCATTGTTCTGGCCCCGGCCCCCCACACCTGGAGCGGAGGAGCCACCCCCAGGCCGGGAGGGGAAGCCCACCCCGCGGCTGTCCGAGCGGGCAGGGCGCGGGCCGGGGCGGTGGTCCCGTCAGGGGCGCCCGGGGCGCGGGGGTTCCGGCTGCGGGGAGCCCGGGCACCAGCGCGGCGGGCGGTGATTCATGCATCACGATGCCGCTGCGAGGCTGGCCTGCGCCCCCTCCCTGCCCCATCGTGTGTGCGTGTGTGTGTGTGTGTGTGTGTGTGTGTGTGTGTGCGTCTTGGGGTGAGGGTGGGGTGGGGTGGGGGTGGGGAGACTTGTGGGAAGCTCGTGGCAGCGGGGGCGGCCAGGGGCCCCGGGCACACTGTTGGATTTCCGGCTGAATTGTCCTCTGGCTCCGATGTCCGTGTCCCCCTCTGTCTCTGCCAGACTGGGACGTGGGTTCACACAGCCCCGGCGATCTGGTCCATGCCATCCTTTCTCCCCAGGGAGCACCCCGAGAGGAGGGTCTGTCCCTTTCAGACTTCCCTAGTGGGTCTCCCTCCCGCCCAACTGCACACCCACCCACAGCTGCTCCCTGCAGCCCCTCCCTGCAGCCCGGGAGGTGCTCCGGCGTGCTGGGGTTGGTGGCACTGGGTCCTGGCCTCCGGCTTTTCTTGGTGGTGGGGGTAGGGGTGGGGGTGGGAGGGCAGGCATCTGCGTCCTCTGGTCGGGCTTGTGCAGGGGCCCTGGGCTTGGGCTGGAATTCAGAACCAACGTGGGCAGCTGCGTGGGTCCAGCCCCTGTGCACCCCCCTGGAGTCGGCAGATCGGCTGCCAGCCCCACGGTGATGGAGGCGAAGGAGGCAGGTTTGGATGGTGCATTGCACAATCTCTGCTTCCGGCTCCCCCGGCGCGCACGCGCACACACGCATGCACACACACACACACACACACACACACACGCTCCATCCTGGGCACGCTTGCAGGTCTGTCTAAGCCCCTGCTGCAGGTCCCTGGCCCTGGCACCGGTGTGCCTGGAACAAAGGGGCTTTCCTGAGCGGGTGCTGGTCCGCTGACAGGGCCTGGCCCCTCTCCAGGGGAACCTGCAGCCAGGAGCTCAGATCCCGGAGCTGCCTTCCAAGGGCCGAGCTCCGAGGACCCGGGACTCCCTCCTGCTGCTCCTGCCTCTTTCCAAGGTGGCTGGGTGGCCCCAAACCCTTCCCAGTGTGGCTGCTGCTTCGTGCCATTCGCCGGGCCTGTCTTTAGGCTCCATCAGAACCTGTGAGCAGGCAGGCTGCGGGTGGGACTCCCTGCTCCTGTGCCAGGAGACATAGCTAGGGCTGCACCGGGGTGTCCCCAGCCTGGCAGCGCCGGGGAGCCAGCTGAGAGCTGCCTGGAGCCGGGTTTTCTGCTCAGTGGGCACGGCGCACGCTGAGATCTTTGCGTTGATAACACGATGAGTCCTGGCTGCCGCCCTGGGCGCGGGCAGTGCCGGTCCCCACGACAGACGAGGAGGCCAAGGCTCAGACAGGGGGTGGCCTGCCAAGACCCCACGGCCTGTCGCGGCATCGGGGCTTGAACTCAGGTCTGTGTGTGTCCAGAGTTACGTCTCGGTGCTCGCCGGGAAGTCGGGGGCTTCTCCTCGCGTCCCTCTCTGGCGTCTGCTGTCAGCCACGCTGGTGGGTTCCAGATGGAAGGAAGGGGGCCTTGGCAGTCGTTTTGTTAAACCACCCCCTCCGGGCACGTCTGTCGCCCTGGAGAAGTGGAGTCGGTGAGGATCTGTTAGGATCCGGCCTGGAGGTGCGGGGCTGGGCTATTTTTAAAGGCCTTTGGAGACACGGAACAGTTTCTCTCAGGGAGAGGGTTGGCCAGCTCCTGTCCCAGAGCCCTCGCCGGGGCTGGGCTGGGGGGCTGGTGGCAGCCTCTCCGCCTCCTGCGTGCCTTCCTTGCTGATGCCAGCTCCCTCAGCGCCGGCCTCGTCTGTTTGGTTGTGCGGGCACTTAGTAGGCCCACAGGCTTTTGCTGACCGAGAAGTCGCCCAGCAGAAGGCCGGAGACAGCCTCTCCCGGCATGTCAAACTCGCGCCGGCGGGCCGCCTGCCTCACCTACTTACCCGGAAGGAGCCAGATGGGCTTCCTAGGACCTGGAGCGGCGCCATCTGCCCTCTGCTCGGGGGACTCGGCGTGTGGACACAGGTCACGAGTGGAGCCTCGGGAAGAAGGCTGAAATGTCAGAGCCGCCCGGAGCGCCTGCTAAATGCCAGGGGCCTTTGGGTCTGGTCTGGGCCCGGCAGTTGGCCTCTCTGACACGTGTCCGCCATGTAGACCGTGGCTCCCAGGAACCCCACGGAGACCCACAGCTGGTTCCGGGGCCCCGGGCGTATGTAGGCATCACCCGGGGTCCGAGGTCACCGCTTGGGCCCACCGGGTCCCCCAGAGGGTCCCCCTGTACCTCCTGCCCCTGGGAAAGACTGTCTGCTGGGGCGTGTGTGTGTGTGCGTGTGCGTGTGTGTGTGTGTGTGTGTGTGTGTGTGTGTGTGTAAGCAGGAGACGGTCTGAAAGCTCCCGCTGTGTGGCCCTCGCTGGACACACCTGGATTCAGCGTGGCCCTGGCCCTCTGTCTGTTGAGCAGATGTTTACCCTCCTCTGCAGGTCAGATTTGGTGAGTCGTCAGGGCCCTGGAACCCAGTCCTCACCCTCCCTGGCCCAGTTCGTATCTCAGGGCATGAGCAGGGTCCAGAGTGGGAAGCCCCTTCCCAACTGGGATGCAGAGCAGCGGTCTGGCCCGGACCCTGGCCTCTCTGAGGTCCGGCCCACTTCCTTCCAGCTTGTCGGTGAGACTGTTGTGTGCCCAGATGTGGCCAGCCCCTCACTTTACCGAGCCTCAGTTTCCTCATCTGCAGAATGGTTCTGCCCAAGGTGCCGGGCTCCTAGGGGATGTAAGCACACAGCCTAGCGAGTGGCATGGTAAGGAGCCACCCTCAACGATGGCAAACGCTTGTCAGAGAGGCAAGCAGGCATGCTGGTGGTCGTTATTAATATTGTTTGGCTGCACAATTCAACTTCACCTTGAACTGGCCTTAGATGTGTCTTCCGGACGAAGTTCATTGGTCCAGAGGAGTCTTCCTTCGGCCCTGGTCTTTGTGCCTGGCACACATGGAAAGCTGGGATCTTCCGTTTGCCCAAATCTTTTTTAAAAAAATATTTTTGTTGATTTCAGAGAGAAAGGGAGGGGGAGAAATAGGAACATCAGTGACGAGAGAGAATCACTGATGGGCTGCCTCCTGCATGCCCCACACGGGGGAAAGGGCTGGCACCGGGCATGTGCCCTGCCTGGGAATGGAACCACGACCTCCTGGTTCATAGGTTGATGCTCAAGCACTGAGCCACCCGGCCAGGCTCAGTTTGCCCGAACCTTAACGGGATCTGAGGTCCCCGCCCCCCTGCCCCCGGAATTTGTTCGTTTTTGGGCTGCCCTGGCCTGCCTTGCGTGGGATGCGCACTCTGTGCTGGGCACGGAGAGGGAGACGCGGCCCTGAGAGGAGTAACTCCTGCCCTCGGGAGGGGCAGCAGGCTGGGGGGAACACCGAGCGGGAGGGCTCAGGCCGTCTGCCTTGGTCTGAGCTGCATCCTTGTAAAGGCTCCTGGGCCCAAGCCAGACTAAAGAGGCAGCAGCCTGACCCCCTCCCCAGCCTCTCCCCACGGCGCTCCTCAGGGACCTTCCCACTCCCCCCTCTTGCTCGGACAGCGGGCTCTGCCTTGGCCTCGCTCGCTCGCCTCCCGGAGCCTCGCTGGCCGTTTCCCTGACGCCCAGCCCGGCCCAGTGTGCGGCAGCCTGTGGCGGGGACGAGCCTCGTCCTTGGTCGGTGGCTAAGGCCTCTGCACCCCAGAGCCGGGAGCGGGACCCTGCAGGGGGCCAGGAGTCGGGCTGAGAGATGCGGGGTGTCCCTGGCTGAGCTCCAGGGTGCCTCTGGCCTTGGGGAGTCCCGGGAAGGGCCCTCGTGGAGGACAAGGAACATCCTCTGATCACTGTCCCCTCCGCCCAGCTCTGCTCCCCCAGCCGTGGCGGGAGGCCGGATCGGGCACCCACCTTGGGACACAGGGTGGCGTTGGGTGTGGAGGGCCCCGCAGCCAGGTGTTTTTTTTTGGGGTCCGGCCCCCGTCCTCCCAGCTTGTTGGTGAGCGGGGGTGGGGGTGGGGGTGAGGGGTGGAGGGGGGGGGTGGGAGTGTGTGTGAGCCGGGGGTGAGCCACCAGAAGAGGAAGGCCCCGCGGGAGGCGGCTTCGGCCGCGCCTGTGCATCCTGCGTGCACGGGGAAGGTCATGGCGGCCCGCTCTCTGCCCCCACAGCTAACGGGCAGCAGCCGGAGGGATCGAGGCTGGACTCTGACACGGAGTTGGGCATCTGGGCAAGAAACATCAAGTCTGTTGTTAGGAAAGAACTCAACATCCCGGAGAACGGGGCTGGGCCCCACGCAGGCCCATGACCGTGGGCAAGTCGCTTCCCCTCGGAGCCGCTGTGACACCTGCTCATGTGACTCGGTGGGTCCAGGTGGGGGGGTCAGAAAGGGGTGGGGGGCTCTGTCCACGTAGCTCAGTTGGTTGGAGGGTCACCCCCATGCGTTAAGGTTCCGGATTGGATT